GGGGGGGGGGCGGATACAGTGCCCAGGATTATGGGTCAGACACCGGTGCGTTCTGCATACCGTCACGCAAGGGCTATGTCCAAACAAGCAAAAGCAAAGCGCACAAGCAACCAGGCTGTTGCTCCCGCGAGCCGGGGGGAATACGGTGAAACCGATGCCCAATCCTTGCGCCACCAGAGGGAGGTACTGTGTAAGAGAGGCCGAGTAGAGGCCGTTACCCTTGGTGACATGTCTACTGACTGCTTACCTCTCTTGCCTGTGACCCCCTTGCGTTGATCTCTGTAGCTGGGGGACTTCCTATTCGGCACCCCCTCCAGGAGCACACAGCATAGCCCGACGCTTGCGCTCTTAGCCGTGAATCGGGCACCCAGGTATGTGTGTCTCCGCATGCCCACGACGGCGGCCCCCAACTAGCCCAGGAGCAACCAGCAGTCATCTCTCGCTTCCCGAGTTGGCGCTGCACATTCGAGTCAATGTTTCTTTATCCGGGTGCGTTTGTACCACGGAGTGATGGGCAACGGCCGGCCGGATGGCACCAAGATCAAGGAAGATGCATCCAAAAGTGCTGTGAAAACCAGAAATTTGGATGTTACCCACAGGAGAGTGGAAACAGAAGACGGGAGACAGAATAGATAAACCACCATTCTTTAATGTTTTTATTTATCATTCTCCTACTCACTGTTGATCTTGAGCAAAACGAAGACCGATAGCGTCCAATGACGAGTTGTACCGTCCCCGTGGTGGCGGTGGCGACGGACGGCTGACAAGGCGACGGAAGGGAGGACAAGGGAAGAACGAGGGGGGGGAAGCGAGGTTGGGCGGGCGTGCCGTGTCCGCGGGCCTGGGACTCCCAGCGAGCCAGCCAGTGCCAGCTAAGGAAGCCAGTTTTAGCCAAAGAGGGCCTTCGGAGCCGATGAGTGACGCTCTTTCGGGTGCTGCATATAGGCAGTCAGCCGGCTGAGACATTGGCTCACAAAGTCTCGCTCGCATGGGTTGACGGACGGCTAAAAAGAAAAAAGAAAAAAGAAAAAAAAAAAAAAAAAAAGAGATGAACAAGCCCCGTGCGTATCCCGACAAGAGCAGGCATCGTCGTGAGTGGCATTAGGGTGGGCGGGGATGACGAGATCAGCACTCATGACGGGCGTCTTTCTAGAACAAGGAAGGAGGAGGTGTGGGTGTATGTGTGTGGGTGTCCCAGCGTCGACACCAAGCATAGCATTGCAACAACAACATTGGTGGGTACATCACAACAAAGCACTCAACCCACCCTCCTGGAAGCGACGGCTCGTTATCGCGGGCGCGAGCCGCGGCAAATGCTAATATTTGATGTGGGCAAGAGCAGGGAGGAGGGGGATTGCGGAGCCGGGGTAGGGATCGTCCCACCCAAATCCGAATATCAAAGGTTGCCTCCTATTGCTTGCGTTTTCTTGTCTCATTTTGGGAAGTCCACAAGTGGGCTAGTCGGCGATGTTTTTGAATATCCGGTGGGGGCCCGTGCTGCTTCTTCTTGGGAGTCCCAAGAATAAAAATAAAAAAAACATAAAAGAAAAAGGACAGGAAGCGGGGTACTAACGAAATCACCAAGACGGAATTGGTGGAATGAGCCTGCATCCCTCGAACGACCCTTTCCCAAAAAGGCAACGAAGGAATGATGGAAAATTGAAGGGAAAAAAAAAAAAAAAAGTTTCTGTTTTCGGTCTAGGCTGAACCAGACGGTCGGGTACGGGGAATGGCTGTCGCCGTGCTCCTTCCTCACAGGGATTAGTCCGCCTTTGAGTGTGCTCCACACCACTCTCGGGAAGGACCCAAAAGCCAGCTTGTGGTGCCAGGGATCCCCTTGTTGAAACCGCGCTGTCGAATGGGAGCCGCACACGTCGACGGGGCCGACCGCAGAGGCCGTTTCCTCCCCTCCCTTCCTTTCCCTTCCCTTCCCTTCCCTTCCCTTCCCTTCCTGTCGAGTTTAGAGCAGGCTGGGCTTTTTTTGGTCTATTCGGCATGCTTTGGGGGAGGCAGCCGAGTGTATGTGCTGCGACTAACGAAATGCTACCTGTGTACAGCATACTCTCTCCTCTATCTCTCTTCTCCCGCACAAAATTCAACAGCTCGCAGGGAATAGAAAGAAAACCCGAACGATTCGGACAGGCTAGGCCGCTGCTGTCCTGCACATCTGACCGCGCAAATCTCTGAGCATGAAACTAAGAGGGGGTACGAGCGAGACGGAGCCAAACGGAAAGGGTCCTAGTGGGTCGGTCTACAGCTCACCGCCGCCTACCAACCACTTTCGTCCATTTCCGTCCATCTCCCACCCCCTCACTGTCCCGAAGCCCCGGGTCTAGGGGAAAGTCAAAGTGGCATAGGTATCTACTACCATGTACCTTGTCTCATTGACCTTGTACGTAGGTATTGCGACGCGCCAGGAAAAAAAAAAGAAAAAAAAAAAAAAAGAACTGCCGAGTGGGCAAGGGAGGCTGACACCGCCAAATCTTTCCGAGTGACAGCGTCTCAGCTATTCTACGTGTGCTCACGTAACGCTCATTACCACCTCCCAAGCTTTCCCGCTGTCTGGCCCCCTCCCAGGGAAAGACCGACTAAGCTAGGTAGGTACCAAGGTATGTATCTGGCTAGGTAGGCACCTAGGTATGTACATATATGCCCGGACACCCATCAAGGCATACACACAAGCAAGCCGTGTTTGTTGTTGGTGGTGACCGATCTTGTGCTGCACGTCTACGGCGACCTCCCATGCCAACTTGCTCGCCGGCCCCGCCCGTCCCTCGCTTTTCCCCCTCAACAAAAATACACGTAGCGCCCCTTGTGTGCCGCGGCTGCACTTGGCACTACTGTAGATGGTGTCCCCACCGCCGTCTAGCGTCATCCCTGGTGTCCCCGACGAGCAAGCCGGGCAATGTCGTGCATCCGTGACTGGCTTTGTTCATGACCTTGCAAGTCCGCTTTCTCATCTCCGTTGGAACTCAGTGTGGAGCGCGAGCCCCTATTCATGCCTATTCGGAAATCCCATCTTTTGGGTCCTGCAAATATGCCGCACCAGGTGCCTTGGTACCTATCTGTATACCTCGGTACTTATCAACCAAGAAAATTCGCCCGAACGCCATCCGGTCTAAAATCATGCCATCGTATCCAGAACATCGTTCCGAAAACGGGAGAAATGAGCAAAAGGAAAAAGAAAACAAGGATGGAGTAAAAGTCTCAATGGTGGTAATCAATAACATAGATCAGCACCACGTAAATACGGGGTTCTTCGTCTTGACCGGCTCCAACCTCTCGACAATGACCTTGCGCCGGTTCCCTTCCATGCCCTCGGCCGCGGCGTACCCGAGGTCTCCATCCATGTCGTCCTCGTAGTGGTACGATCCGTGCGAGTCCTGTGACCTCCTGGCTCCGGCGGCGGCGGCGCCCGAGCCGCTCCCGCCGCCCATTTCGCCGGGGCCGTACAGGTGCTGCGCGATGCTGTTGCTGTTGCGGCGCCCCGCCGCTGTCGCGAACGAGAAGCGGCGCTCGTGGTGCGGCGTGTACATGTTTAGCGACCGGGCGGGGGGTTGGTGATAGCTGTTGGCACTCCCACCCCGCCGCGAGAATGCCGGACGCTTCTGCTGGGACTCCTCCTCTGATGTTGCCAGCCCGGGCGTCGGCTCAGGTGACGACATGACCGCCTCACTCTCAACCGCGTCCTCCGTGTTGTTGAGCGACAGCTCGAAGCGCCCGGGATGCGGGAGGTCAGCTGGCGGACTGGCGAGACCAAGTAGGTCAACCTGGTGGCTGGCTGATGAGGACCCGGCATTGGCCGATGAGGAGTTCGCGGCTCCAATATCCATCTCTTCCTCCAGGACCGCTTCGGCTGAGTAGAGCTGATTATCCGGATCGTTCCGACGGCGCATCTCGGAGCTGGCAACGCGCATGGGTACGGCAACGGGAACGTCAACTAGGTCGTCCCACACACAGACCTTCGCGCGGCGTGTCAGCTCGAGCGGTCCGTGGTCAGCGGTCTTTAGCGTCTCCACAACGTTCCAGGCCTGGCCCTTCATGACAGCGATCTGGCGAGCGAACATGCGCTCTTGAAAGTCTGGATCGAGCTGAAACACGCGGCGCAGTGCCAGCTGAGTCTGCGACCACCAGGCTGTCGACGTCAGCAGCGGTAGGAAGTGATCACGCGTCCGTTGTGAGAACGGCCGGCCGATCAAGTCTACTGGCAGAAACAGCCAACCGAACGGGAAGCTAAACATGACCGCTGTCAGCGCTATCGACAGGCAACAGTTGGTCTGGGGGTGCTTTCAGCGGGGACGTACCTCCTCCACGCATCTGGGTGTTTCCACGGCCAGGATAGCGAGTTGTCTATTGCACCAATAGATATTTTGGGGTCCGGGGCGGCCCTGGATGACGAATTGGATGCGTCCATGGGCTGCTGTTTCCGGTACGGGTAGGAAGCCCGCCTCTCTGCCGGTTTCCTCTGCGACAGGTCCACGGACCGTGGCGCCTCTGGCCTGTCACTACTCCGGCCGTTCTCCATCTGCAGGTGGAGAGGCTCAGACGCGATCGAAACCTCCTCCGTCTCCCAGTCAACCTTGATCATCCAGTTGTCGAGGCCCCTGTCCGTGTTCCGCATGATGTAGTCGAGAATAACCAGCTTCTCGAGCTCCTCCCTGAACGATTGCTTGAGCGACTCTGTCCAGCCAAAGTTTCCAGGCCCGAGCCTTGGACTGGCTCGACTGCCGCCGCTCCCCTCAGCCTCACCGTCGCTCTCGTCATCACCACCGTCGGCCGGGTCGCCAGACGGCTTGCAGCTGTTTGCCCACCCCTTCCTCCGGTTCCTATGCGAATCGGTGGTGCGGAAACCCGACAGGTACTGGTCCGGCCAGGGGTGCTCCCGAAGAAAGATGTTAGCATCCTTGAAGCCCTTGAGAAACACCTGGAAGCTGCCGGGCTTCGACGGCAGCGGCTTCCTGTTGCGTCCGTATGCGTAGCGGTCCCAGAACGGGTAGTGGAAGGATTTGGACGAGAGATGGACGACGTCGGTGTATGGCACCAGGTGGGTGCGCAGCTGGCAGTCAAGCACGTATGCGGCGGCCTCGCTGACGTATGACAGGTTTGGAATCAAACTTTAAACACCCATTGTCAGCCCTGTGTTCCGCTTTGCGATAAACAAGCAACAAGACACGACGGTGTGCTTACCAGGCCCTTCCGAAACAGCAAGGGAATAGGTTTCGGTGTATCCACTTGTTCCATTTTGGGTTTCCGGCCGCGTAGGGCTCCTCGTCCTTGGGCTTGAAGACGCCAACGACCTTGCCCTCGGGGTTCCTGGCAAAGTAGCTGCCGGAGCTGCCCTGCGTGATCATGCGCGGGTGGACCCCTTGCTCGATGGCGACGCGGACGCTCTCGACGACGGCCTCGAACTCCTCGGGCGACATGTCGGGACTGCCGCCGTGGGCTGTCGGGTCGGCGAGCGACTCAGCCGTTGCGGGGCGGACCCCTTCTGGCGCCTGGAAGACCGAGTGGTGGATCTCGAGGCGCTCCTCCTCGTCGGCGCCCCCTTTTTTGCCGCGGTGCCGCTTGAACTTGGATGCGATCTCGTCGGCCCAGCGCTCGAGCCGCGCATTGATGGCTTTGAGGTCCACGCCCGAATTGCTGCGTCTCCGCCCGCCGCCGCGCCTGCCGCCGCCGCCGCCGCCGCCGCCAATTCCGTTATTGTAGCTGTGGCTGTGAAATGGCCGGCCGCCATGCGGCTTTGGCGAGGCCATGCCGCTGTGCGGCCTCGGCTGGCCGACAGGCGCATGACGGGGCGCCGCAGGGTGCTGTAGGGAGGCGAAGCTTCGGCCGAGCGGATCGTCGTCGTCCGAGTCGCTGTACTGGTCGGCCTGGGCGATCCTCTCGTAGCCCGTCATGGTCGGTCGTGGTGGCATCGTGGCGGCGGTTGTAGTATGGTCTGTTCGGATCGCGGGGATTGGTAATATCGGGTCGGGGTCGTAAACGCGTCCTGCGAGTTCTGTGCTGTCTGTCTGTTTTCTCGGCGCGCGACTAAAGGCCGAACTGAGTGCCAAGGATCGAAGGAACCACAATACGAGGTTCAATAGAGCAAGTACACGAGGGGCGTTTGTATGTTGCCGCTTTCGAAGCGACCAAATGCGTGTGATGAGACGAATGAGCGACACGACTCCAAAGGAAACAAAGCGAACAAAAGAAAAGAGGGAGAAAAAGAGAAATCGGCTTAAACAAGCTACAATGCAGTCGGCGGCGCGCAAATGGAGAAGCCGAGAATGACGGGGTGGATGCTGCAGACTTCCTTTCCGGCGGCGGTGATTCGAAGGATCTAAACAGCCATGATGGCACAGCGACGGGGTACCAAGCGGGCCAGCGGCGTTGGCGTCTGGAGAAGCCTAGTCCAGGTGAGGTTTGGCGTGGACAGAAAACGGGCGTTGTCCCCAACAAGCACGGACCCCAGGCGGCGGAATCGATGTGGTCATCGATCAATCTCATGTCAAGCCTCTGGCCAGCCCGAATTTGGGGCCATCTCAGACAACACGCGCAGCTGGGTGGGGCGCGCCAACCTTGATGGGCGTGATGAGGTTGATGGGTGCGCCCTCATTGGGCTGTTTGAGCGGGAAGACCCGCAGGACATGTACCTTTGTATCTCCAACGTCCTGTGCGGGCGGATAAATGCCCGCAACTGCCTTAGCCGACCTGCCGACCTTGGCAGCCACCTCCTGGAGGCCCCTGTCTGGCACGTCTGCCAGTGTCTGGGACAAAGGACCGGGCCACCCGCACTCGACTGAATGGTATCAATTATGTGGTCTAAGCAGCTAATAAAGGCGCGTGCTCAGTCATTCTCCTCGTCCATGGCTCTTTGCCCGGGCGTCTCGGTGCCCTCGCTGGCCGCGCTGAGCCGCGCGCAGAGGCTCAGCAGCACCACTGTCTCGGTCGCCGCGTAGTGGTTCAGCGAATCGAGCATGATGTGCAGATGCCGGCTGAAGTTGACCTCCCACTTTGCGAGGATCTCGTACATGTCCCTCGGCTTCTCGCCCCCCGCCCCCCCGCCCGCCCCGGCCGACGACGACTTGTCCGTCGGTAGCGCTTGGATCTGCGCCCAGTCTCGGTCGGACATGCCCGCCGGCTTCACTGTCCCGTTGAGCTCCGGGTCGGCCTTCTTGAGCTCCTGGTTGAACCACCTGCTGTATGTCGCGAAGAATAAAACGGTGTGCATGAGCTTCGCGTTGATCTGTATGAAATGGATTTCGTGTTATTTTTCTGCATCTCGAACCTCACATCTTGTTGGGATCCGCGGCCAGCCTCTGGTCCCTGCGATATCCGACCCCGGGAAGCCACGTCTTGACCTACCTTGAGGAGCTTACTGTTGGTAAGCATGCACTCTTTCAAGCACGTGTCGAGAAAGTCGACGTGGTCCTGCATGAGCTCGTCCACGGTCCGGGTCAGGCCCTTGGCCCCCTCCTTCTTCTCCAGACGCTGCATGAACTTGTGCCAGTTGGGCTCGATGACCTCGGCGGTGCAAAAGTAGAGGAGCTGCTGCACAAAGACCAGCATGCGCGCCCGCAGCGTGAGCACGCGCCGCTTGAAGGCCTCTATCCTACGGGACGGGCTCTTGCGCGTCCACAGCGCCCACTGGTTGTGCGTTTGCCAGTGGTTCGAGAGCAGCGACTCGAGGTGCCGGAGCGAGAGGAGGTACCGAAACAGCGCCTGGTATCGCCAGACGGTCCGGCGGCTGATGACCAGCGACACGGGGAACGGCACGGCGTAGTCCAGCTGCAGGCAGTTGAACCCGACCGCGTTCCTGTCCGCCTCGTTTGGCAGGTTGGTCAGCGGCTGCAGCGCCTCGCCAGCCTCTATGCCCGTGATGTTAACCACGCGCTGCAGAGACTTGACCAGCGGTACCTCGTTCATCTCCACCTTGACGTCCTCCTTGAACGGGTCGAGTGACACCACCGTTCCCGGCTGCCGCAACACCAGATCCAGCAGAGACTGCAGCTTGCTCGTGTTGACAGCCTTGACGGGCCTCTTAAGCTCCGCCGCCCCAAGCTCGAGGAAGTGGATAAAGTAGTCGGACGGGTCCAGGAAAAAGTAGTGCTTCATCGACCGCAGACGCGCCGGCAGCGAGTGCGCCGTCAGGAGCAGGTTCATCAATGATTCGTTGGCGTGTGCGTAAGCATTGTGCACGTTGTCCAGGAAGCGCGGATCGTCAAAGGTGAGCGGCACGTCCTTGACCTGCTTGCTCACATCGACGCCGCCGCATTCCCGCACTACGTTTAGATACTTGCCCGCCAGGAGCACCTTGTCCTTCAGGCTTACCAGCTGCGGTGGTACAGGCACATCCTGCTCCCGTATAGTGTAGCGCTTCTCCCAGTAGTCGTCCGTGTAGTCCTGCTCTAGTCGCTCTCGTCGTATACTCTTCTGCTGCTTGACCAGGAACTCGGAATGCGGGTCGTTGATGGCTCCGTGGTGCAGCCATTCGTTGAGCATGGCCATGTAAGGCCTGCTGGCATCCCTGAGCAGAGTTGTCAGGACTTCGCGGGCGGCCGGGTCCCCGGACATGGATTCTAGCCTGGCTGTTATTATGGCCAGTACAGCACCGCCCTTGGAGATCTTCTTCGCCGCCATGTTTCCTGGCATGATGTCGCCGCCCTCTCTCAGCCGGTTGACGATGTTGTCGAAATCGGTGTCGTCGTCGTCGGCCGAGTCGTCGCTCTCCTCGTCGAGGAGCGCGTTCTTCTTGAGCAGCTCGTGCGCCAGGTCATGCAGCTGGAGCATCATGTGGCTGGTGGGCAGCAGGTGTATGTTGAGGACGTGCAGCGTGAATGCGTCGTCCGTCAGGAACTGGGTTTCCAGCTGCGCGATCAGCACCAGGTAGTCCTGCAAAAGCTTCCGTATCGAGGCGCACAGCGCATGGTTCACGGATCCGAACTCGTCTCGGCTCTGCACATCAACAAAGGCCATGAGCGACGAATAGTGTGTTGCCAGGCCGAGCATGGACGCGGTCAAATCCTGGAGGCTAGGGTCGAGCCCCGGGAGTATCCTGAAAGTTGGCCCCGCGAGGCGGTCGCGCTCCTCTTCGGGGTTGTAAATCTTGGCATAGCGGATGTACTGGCCCTCGATGCCCATGAGGACGAACAGGAGGTCCTCGAGGATCAGGGCCTCCTGCGCCGCGAGGGGTATATCGTGGAGCGGTAGCGGCTGGAGCGGCGCAGGCTGCTGCGAGGTCAGGGGCGGGATGGATATGCGCGAGGCCAGCGGGGCCGTCGTATGCGGGAGCAGGGTGGCCTCGGGCTCCCAGACGGCCTGGGGGGGCTCGGGCCTGGGCTCGCGCGGTCGAGAGTCGGCGGCGGCCCTGTGCTTGCCGCCCATGTCGCTGGTCTTCGGCTTGTCCTGGGGCGGCGGCTGGGCGCGACGGTTGGGGCTGCGAGTGCGGGACACGACCGTCTCGCGCGTCGTCACGTGGGTCTTCTCGGTCCGGCGCTCCTCGACGGTCCTGCTGGAAGGGCGCAGGTTGCCTGAGGCGGAGCGTTTGTGCGAGGTGTTGGTGGAGGAGAAGCCGGGTTGGAGGCCGGGCTGCGGCGACGCCTCCTTGTAGCGCGGATCGCGGTCGCTCCTGAAGCTATCGTTGGCGCTCACGCGGGGCCTCTGGGGGCCAGCGCGGTCCGCGGCGCCATTTGCCCTCTTGTTGCCGTCGGGAAAGGGTCTGGCGGTGCTGGACGACATTGTTGGGGTCTACATTGGCGTGGAACTGGCGCGGCGCAAGGTGCGGTCATTTGCCGTGGTGCTACCCTGCCCCGACCGACGACCGGCACCTGTCAGAGGGGGTGCGGTAGCGAGTGTAAAGACTGGCGGGCTGGCGAAGAGATGCCGTGGCGGAATGCCTGCCGGCGCGTCGTTGTTTGGAGGATAAACCAACCGAAGCTGAGGTTGCCATCCTAAAATTGAAGTCATTGGGGCCAAACGCGCTCCGCTTTCGCGCCAGCCGAATCATGTTGACCGTGCATGCGCTGCTGCCCCGCCATTGGGAGCTGAAGTTGACGGCACACCACTGCTGGAGCTGTCAGGGTCCAGGGGGGGTGCGGCGCTCGTGCTGGAGCTTGGTGGGTGGTGGTGGGTGGTGGTGGCCCGTGCTTCTAGGCAGGGCTGGCTCGGGAGCTGTCGTCGTCGTTTGCTTGCTTGCCTGGAGCTCCATGGCAATTGCCTGTGCCTCCGCCGCCAGCCTCATCACCAAACTCGGCCGCACCCCAGCCGATCCAGTCCTTTTCTGCCGCGGTGCTTGACTGACACCTCTCGTCCATCGTATACCTCACAAGCTCCCTTCCTCCTACACACAACACCGCCAAGATGTTTATGGCCAGGTCTGAATACGGTGAGTCCGCAGCGTCCCACCATGCCCACGGCGCCGCCCGCCCGCCGCCCACCCCCAGCCCGCCGGCTTCGCTCTTTTCTTGAGGATCGCGTGCTCTGACTCTGCGCAACGACTGCTAGATCGGGGTATCAAGTACGTTTCCGCCTAATCACCCCCGCCATCCCCCCCGTGCCCCTCCTCCTCCTCCCCGCTAGGAGCCCACATCGCTAACACGGACGCCTCGGCGCCGGCTAGCACCTTCTCCCCCGAGGGCCGGCTCTTCCAGGTCGAGTACTCGCTCGAGGCCATCAAGCTCGGCAGCACAGCTATCGGGGTCGCGACGTCGGAGGGCGTGGTCCTGGGCGTGGAGAAGCGCGTGACGTCGACGCTGCTCGAGACGTCGTCGGTAGAGAAGATTGTCGAGATCGACCGCCACATCGGCTGCGCCATGTCGGGCCTGCAGGCCGACGCCCGCAGCATGGTGGAGCACGCCCGCGTCGAGTGCCAGTCGCACGCCTTCAACTACAACGAGAACCTGCGCGTCGAGTCGTGCACCCAGGCCATCTGCGACCTGGCCCTGCGCTTCGGCGAGAGCGCCGACGGCGAGGAGTCCATCATGAGCCGCCCCTTCGGCGTCGCCCTGCTCATTGCCGGCTACGACGAGGACGGCCCCCAGCTCTACCACGCCGAGCCCAGCGGCACCTTTTACCGCTACGACGCCAAGGCCATCGGCAGCGGCTCCGAGGGCGCCCAGGCCGAGCTGCAGAACGAGTACCACAGGGTACGCACGCCTTTTTTATTGCTTCCTTTTTACCGAGCCCCCCTTGCTCTTCCTTTCCTCCCCTCTTGCTGCTAGAAGACGATGCTAACGCCTCACAGTCTCTGACCATCGCCGATGCCGAGACGCTCGTCCTGAAGACGCTGAAGCAGGTCATGGAGGAGAAGTTGGATGCGAAGAACGTCCAGCTGGCCAGCGTCACCAAGGAGGCGGGCTTCAGAATATACACAGACGACGAGATGGCCGCCGTCGTGGCCCGGTTACCCGTGAACTAATCGTCGAATGGATAAAATGGGGGGTTTTCATGCAGGGGCTTTCCGTGATTCGACTCACCCAAAGTCCCCTTGCGAGGCCAATCGCGGGTTTTGTCAATGAGCACCTGCAACTCTCGATAAAAAGCGGCAAGGCGTCGCAGTCATGATAGAAGTGTCTGTTGGCATGAATCATGATTTGATCCTTCTTCTCCGAGAATCGTGAAGTCCAAGAGACAACGTCACCAAGCAGTGTTCCGACGGGTGGCCGTATTACTTTGACGATATTTGTATTATTACTGCATTTATATGAGGTTGCCACTCCCATCGCGCCGCCATCACGGCTGGTCCTCCCATTCAGGTCCTCAAACACGGTAGCAGTTCGGTTTATGATCCCAGACCGCCAGTCAGTCCCCAAGACGACTCTATTCAGCTCCCTACAGGTCCAACCTTTCCATGTCCTGCTCCACGGCGATGAGGCCGAGGGCCAAGTGCGTCTGCTCCGAGTTGGCCAGCACGATGCGGCGCTCGTCGGCCCTGTCGCCCCCGCGCTCGCGGTACTCGTCATCGAGCTCCTTGATGCGCTTGTCGACGCGCCTAGGCCGGCTCCACACGTCGGGATCCTCATTCTGCATGTCGGCGGGCCTCGAGTAGTAGGGGCCGTACCCCCTCTCCGCCGCCTTGACCCACGCCGACTCGCAGCCGCGCGCGATTGGCCGCGCCGACTGCCAACCCGTGAGCCGCGCAACATCGAGGAGCCTCTTGATCGTCCAGACCCTCTGCTCGTTGTTTTGCAGCTAAACAGAAATAGTGGCCTGTTAAAACCATGTGACGGACGACGAGGGTGGGTGGGATGGGTATATGGGCAGGCATATGCTGCGCTTACCTGGATGCCCGCAACGAACAGTGGGAAGCAACTTTCGATGAAGGCGGCACACACGACAGTAGGAATAGCCGTGATGCCGTCGCAGGTGTCCATAAGGCCCGCTGCAATTCGCCCGATCGTGTGGGCATAATCTTCGGTCTGTTGCGCGGCCATCCCAGCGGCAACCATGGAGATGGGGGGCATGGACGGATGGGCGCGGTGCAGGAGGACCAAGCCCATGTAGTAGTTTAGCCAGATGCCCGCGATGCTGTACGTGCGGTAAACCAGCGCCGGGCCAAATGGCGACGACGACTGCCCGAAAACAAGGGCTTCGTTCAGAGGCTCGAAGTCCCCGCCGACCGCCTCCGCGAATGTGGCGAAGGCTACCCGAATCTCCTCCCACTCCTCCAGTGCTTGCTTTGTGCTGACCTCAAGGTCGATGTCATCTGTTGGGGCGTTGAACACGGGCCCTGGATCATCAGCTGTGGGCGAGAGTCCGGTCGGGATGGTAAATGTTCCCGAAGTCGGCATCATGCCCGCAAACATGGGGCCACCACCCATAGGCCCTCCAGGAGGACCAGCTGGCGGGCCTCCAGGCGGTCCTCCAGATGGTCCCCCAAAGCCTCCTGGTGGTCCTCTAGGTGGTCCTCCAGGCGGTCCCCCAAAACCTCCTGGTGGTCCTCCAAAGCCTCCTGGTGGCCCTCCCAGTGGCCATCCAGGCGGTCCTCCAGGCGGCCCTCCAGGCGGTCCTCCAGGTGGCCCTCTGGGCCTTCCACCAGGACCGCCAGGACCTCCCATTGCATTGTTCTTGGCTGCCTTTCGCTTCCGAGCCAGATCTCGCGAGGCAAAGTTTGTGAGTCTGCCCAGGAGGAGTATGATGTGATCAAAGGTTCCATATCTGCGGCGTTTCTGTTAGCAACCCAGAGCCAGATGAGCGGTCCCTATATCATGGGCTTTGCAGTGCAAACTTACATGGCGTCGATTCTCCCGATCGGAGACCTGGGCGCGACCTGGGTCCAGAGTTTGTAGTCCATCCTAGAATACGCAAAGGAGGGAGGTCAGCTTCGTACAGAAATGCCCGCTCACCAGTTGCGCTCATTACCTGCCCAACAAGCCCAACTAGCAGCTCTCTCGGGTCAAGATACATCCAATGGCACTTACAAGAGAAGGGTTCCACCAAGAATGCTCTGGTATACATCCATTTTGCAATACCACCAGAACAGATCGACTATCTGCTCGTAGTTCTCCATGTCCTTCTCGGTGGACATGTTTTGCCTCCAGAGTCTGTCATCGGGGTGTTCGGCCTGCCCGTAGGCCTCGTAGTCGACTGGCAGCCCCGTCAGTCTAGATAGAAGATCGGTATCGATGATGCTGTTTCTGAAGTCCTGGGCAATGGTGCCGTTGCCGCCGTATGGTACCTTCGCTTGGGCAGCGATGTCTTGGTCGCGCTTATATGCCGTGGCAGCCTTCGTCATGGCCTGAATGGGTATCTCTTTCAGAAGAGTGCGGGCTCCATATAGGTGTTTGCACCATTTCTCATGATCCGAATTCCAGACTTCGTAGAATCCTAGCAAGAGAGTTGCGGCGAGTGTGGCGGGCGTGGCTCGTTTGATGGGACTCCGATAGTTCCTTGCGATCCTGCGGAGACTCAGGTGATAGTGCTTCATCGACACCGTAGCCGGGACACCCTGTAACATGGCCATCTGGAGGCTTCCCATGGCGAGAATTCCCTGGAGGAGTGCCGGGTGGTTCAGAGAAAGATAAGGGAACGTGTCTAGACTAGCTGTCAGCATTGAACAATGCAAGAAGAAATCGTAAATAAAGAAAACCTACAAGCCCAGATGTGCCTGCGTAGCTTGCGTGTTGGCGCTCCTTCGGGTGGGAAGCGTTGGGGATCGAAGGGGCTGCGTTCGTAAAGAGACATGCTCGGGGCGGTCACGTTGATAAAATGCTGGAAAACAGCGGCCACTTGGCTGTCGTTGAGAGGAGAGCTTCCAGCCCTTGGGTTGTACGAGTCGAGTATTCCTGACCCGCAATCTACGAGCGGAGGTAGGAGACGCATCCCCACGGCTCGGTAGTCGTTCCGACCGGGATGGCCGGCCTCCATGGAGCGGGAATGGTTCGCCTCTGACGTGGCGAGGTCGCCATCAGTGACATCGAAATCGTCATCCGAGTCGATCATCGAAGCCTCCTCGTCGTCAAACCAGAATTCCGCCTCGGTTGTGAGCTGTTCAGTGGGCAGCCGTGCCACGAGTTCGCCATCGTCCGCGAAGACGTCCGTCATCTCCTCCATGCTTACAGGAACAAACGTGGACGGGCGGACGGGCGAGCTGGAAGGCATTGTGTCGAACTGTCCAAGATATGCCTCTGGTGGTGGCTGAGAATATGAGAACTCGGGCTGCGTCGGCTGCTGCATGTTTTGTCCCAGCGATGGATAGGGAGGAGACGGAAGAGTGGACATGGCAGGATTGGCCGGACCGAAGCAGTTGGGAACATCAAAAGGTTGCTGAGAAGCAGCGTAGAGACCGGGCGGAAGATTGACTCCAGGTGGAGTTGGGGCGGGATACGGCCGAGGCGGGCTAGGGTACGGTCCACCGTACTGTTGGGCGATGGGGCCGGCAAAGTCGAGGCTGGGTGGCTTTGGGGCGATGATGGGTAGAGGACCTTGCACCTGGGAAAACCGGGCCTGGGCAGAGGCAGCGGTCATGGCTGCCATCTGAGCACGCAATGCGGCTTCCGAGGCCTGCTGCTGATTGTAGGCGAGAATGGGGCCGTACGAGCCGTTGTGGAAGGCAACATTGGGCTCCTTGAAGACAACTCGCGTGTTGTAACCATCGCAGTTGCGCTTGGACTTGATGCAGTTATTGCATGTCGGCTTCGCCTCGTCGCACTTGATGCGCCGTCTGCGGCAGGCTGAGCAAACCCCGGGTTTACAGTGTCAGAAGGTTATTTCCTGGACGATGCAATTTCGTCCGATATCCAATCCCTTACGTCGTGGCGTAGGGGTTTTGGGCTGAGGGCGGAAGATGAATTGGTAGGTAGCGAGAATTATTACATACTCATACATCCCGTCTTGGTTCGTTTCTTGATGGGCCCCTTTTTGCTGCCGTCGTCGCCCTTGCTCCCCTCATCGTCCTGGTTAGAGTCTCGGCGCGCAGCTGAGTCTTGAGGGCGCTCGACCTCGGCCTGCGATGTGGCTGCGTCCATGTTGGCGCGATAGCAATCAACATCAAAAAGTCTAACAGTGTCAAGATATGTCGACAGGGGCCTTGCTGGTAGATATGAGATGACAGTTCCGGAGATGAGATGATCTGGTCGTATGTCGATTGCCTTAGCGCCCTAAAAGACACCTTGAAAGCCGTGGTTTTCGGATATATTTATGAGATGAGCTGACGCAGACGGCGGCGTCCGACCCTCTAGACGACTGTGATTAGGTCACTGGAACCGAGTCGGAGACCGATTCGTTTGTGCGATCAAGTCACCTTCGAGGCACGGTCCCAAGTCCCAGATTCCTTGCCAGTGAGGCTCCCAGGACAAATGACGGATCAATCGACCGCTTTCTGGTCCAGATAAGCGAGGCGCCAGCGATGAGGCAACAAAACAGACTAGAGAATTGCGTAGGGCCGTGCACGGACCAGAGCTCCAGGTGGCTGGCGACAGGGAGAAAGCGTGTACCGAGGGGAGAAGCTGAACAGGTCCCTGTTATGTAGCGGCAGTGGATGGAGGAGGGCGTAAGACAGTTGGTGTGTCCTGAGGCGTCCGCGCCGACTGCTTGTGCACGGGGTCTTCGGCCCGTACCACGTCACGTCCTAGCCGAGCCGAGTGAGAGGGGCTTCCCGGAGAGGGTGGATAGTTAGCGTCGCCAGAAGGTGGACCGCGGAGAAGGGGTCCAGATAATTGTCTAGGTGCGGCCTAGATGGGATCGCTAGAGGCAGCTCTCGAAAGCACAGGCGAGCATGGTAAAATGTTAGGGTGGCAGGTGAAGCGGGTTTCATGCATCACGCTGGTCGCCGGAACGCTATTTCGGCTCTCGTGGCGAACAAGAAAAAAGGAAGGAGTGAGTGCTGTCCTCAGGCGCGCAAATCCGTGATGTCGGGACGTCGGCGCGACGCTGGCAACGTGCGGCCGGTGTGGTGACAGGAATGGGCCTCGGTGGTCAGACGTTTAATGTGACTCCTCAGCAATGCCCGACAGCACGGGAAGAGGCACAATGGCAGGAGGTGGGAGAGGGAGGGAGAAAAGGGGAGGGCCGGCAGGGGACGACGAGGCTTCTTGGCAACGGGGGCAGTTTTAGGCCCGTGCATACATACGGCCACGGACCCCTATCCTCGGCTTTGGCTGGGTTCGAAAAGGAGGGATACATCGCGATAAAGTAGTGGAGGCTGGTTCGGCTGGGAGGGCCGGGAGGCTAGGTACTGATCAGGGGCGCAGAGACATCAGTGGCAGAGAACAAATGCGAGGCAGCAAGGTCGCTGCAGGCTCGCTGCAATGCCGCTGCGGCAGGCCGGGTTCGGTGGAGACGCTGGTGACTTTGCAGGGGGCGGGCCATAAAACGCGGGGTGTTCTCTCGTCAGCAAATGACACAGCTCCAGCGGGGAACTGCCGGACCCAGGCCTCGGTCTAGGCGCCACGTTTTGATTAGGGGCCGGCCGGTTCGGAGTAACCCGACGGTGGGGACACAGGCTGCCACAGCCTTTGATACGGACGTAAAAGGCGGCCACGGGAGGGAAAGACGGGAACGAGCAGGAACGATGGATAGAGGAGTGTAGGATTCGGAAAGAGCGATCAAGAATAAAAGAGAGAAAAAATCAAATGGAAGGAGCTGGGACACCTACACAAAGGCCCACGAACGCTCTTCCCATTTGACATTTGCTAGCCGGGTGTACCTTGCGCGTTAGTGTCGCCGCCGCGCACGCACCGTAAAGCCCGTGCTGTTGTAACCTCGCCCTGTGGAGGCATGGGAGGCAGACGCTCAACTAGTCGGAGCGCCCGGGTGAGAAAATTGGCGCGCCGTACCACACAAACTACGCGTAGTTGATCGTCGATCACGGCTGCCGGGCATAACATGAGAAGTGACATCAAAGAGGGGCAGGGGTGTCCAGCAAATAACGGCCAGCACCGGCCGTCTCTGGCGGCCGGACGGCTGATGGGGGAGGCCGAGCACAATCGTCATTGTTCCAAGTCCGGGGTTGGAAAATCCACCGTCGCTTTGCTCGAGTCGACAATTTCCCGAGACATGGAACCTACGGAAGGCGGCAAGGCCCATGGAGAAAATGATCCGGTTTGTTCTCGGTCTTAGTCTGCCACGTGCTCAGAAACCGGTCAAGAAAGCCTTGGGCCATTATGTCAGAGATGAAGGGGAAGGAAATTCGTAAAGAATTTTGGGTTGCGTGCCGATTTATCGTTGTAGGACAACTTGTCATGGAACCTAGCCAAAGGGCGCCTACCAGCAAGGACAGACGTACGTTGAATAAGCAATAGTCTGTCTATATATCGAGAAAGAGCCAACAGGTTAGCTTGAGTCGACAAGAGGTTAAATGTTGACTCCTAGAACGCCTCACCTTTGTCACTCAAAGTCAAACGCTCCAAAACAGCTCGGGAACGAATAGAGAAATGCAATAACAGTTTCAAAGCGGACTCGCTCCTACGACAGAAATGATTGTGTGTTCAAAACAAGCCAACAACAGATGTGACGCTAACATATGATTTTCTTTACAGCAAAATGGTATGTTCATAGCAAATAATGTCCCACCAAGCAAGCGAGCAAGCCAACCGCCTCTCTCTTACCCCAGGTTCCCGCCCTGCCTCGCCCATCTACACCATTGCTCCATTAGGCCGTACCATAAAAAAAGAGCCAAGTATGGCAAGAGCAAAACAACACTGCAGTATCGTTCTTTTGTTATTTGTATCTGTCGCAAGCAAACCAGCCCAGGCCCACTTAATTGTTCGCATTCCGGCGCTCGGCCTCCTGGACGGCGCGGCTCCAGTCGTATTTGTACAGGAAGAGGTACTCGACCACGGCGACCAGGCCAAGCCCACCCGTAACGCCGATCCACAGCCCCGTGAGCTCCCAGCCGAGGCCGAGGCCGAGGCCGAAGGAGACGGGCAGCGCGATGACGTAGTACGAGACCAGGTTCGCATAGCCGCCGAACTCTTGCCGGCCGATGCCGCGGAGGAGCCCGTGCGAGAGCGCGGCCATGCCGTCGAAGACCTGCATCATGGCGCAGATGGGGAGAACGTTGGCTACGATGGCGATGACCTCCTCGTCATCGGTGAAGAGGAGCGGGAGCTTCTTGCGGAGCGCCGTGACCACTATCATGTTGACAACCCCGATTATGGACCCGGCAACGACGGCCTAAAACAGAAACATGTCAGCTTATCTGTTTAATGCGGGTGTTCGCGCTTCGGCCCGGCGCATCACTGACCACCCTGGCCGATGTCTTGGCCGCATCGACAAGCCTGGCCCCGATGAGGTTCGCAACTCGGGTCGACGCCGCCACGGAAAGTGGGAAAGGGACCTGGTAGGTGGTCGAGGTGATGGTGACCAGGATGCTTTGGGCTGCAAGCTGGGGCGTGCCGAACCGGCCAGAAATCAGCGTGAGAATCTCAAAGGCAAACCATTCAGCCTCTACCATGATCATGCCCGGGAGGGCGAGCCGGATCATGGGACCTGTGACACGTTAGCAGGCCGCACGACCGAGACTCTGCAGACAGGGGGGTTACACCGGCGCAGACTTACCCCAGTTCGATAGCGCCCGTTTCGTAAAGCCGCCCCAGCACTGATAGCCGTCGACGAAAATAACGTATAAGAACAACAAAACGGGCATGAGGTTCTGCGTAATGACCACGCTGATCGGAGCCCCGACGAAGCCCCAGTCGAGCTTCCAAACGAAAAGCCAGCTGAGGAACACGTTCAGGGGCGCCGCCACCATGAGGCAGTAGGTGGTGGCGTGGAAAATGCCCTGCGCCTGGACGAAGCGCTTGGACGCCTCGAAGACGGCGTAGGCCGGCATGCTGAAGATGCAGACCCGCAGATAGAGCCCCGCGAGCTCCGCGCTCGCCCTCTCCGGGAGGACCAGGGATAGGAGCTCCGTCGCGTTGAGCCACAGCACAGCGATGGGCAGCAGCAGCACGAGCAGGAACCAAGTCATCCTCTGGAGTTGCAGCCCCACCAGGTGCTTGTGCCCCGAGCCGTAGGCCTGGGCGCAGAGGGTGTCGAGGCTGGTCGAGAGGCCCTGGATCGGGGCGTAGCAAGTAATGTTGGCAGTCATGGTGCCGACTGTCGTGTACTCGAAATGTTAGAGACATGGCCTCCCACCCCCCCTGACATGTCATGGATGCAAGAGTTCCGCCCCTCCCGCGGGATAGTGTCACTTACGGCTGATGGCGCCCAGCTCTACCTTGCCTATCCTGCCAACGACAAATATGCTGGTGATGCTGATGGAGTACTGCAGCAAAAAGGTAACAACCAGGGACCTGGCATACGTGGCTAGGGTTTTGGCCTCGCGCTGCCAAGTGGTCCTGATCTGGCCCGCCGCGACGGCAGCCTCCCAGGTGTCGTGGAGGTGGCCCTGGTCGGGGCGGTGCCCGTCGGGGGCCCCATTGCCGTTTGCGCCGGCGAGCAGGGGCGCCTCCTCGTCGCCGCCCCCGCGCAGCTTGGGGGGCACCTTTGTGCTGAACAGCTTCCGGCGCAGCTGGGTGAAGAAGCCGGCGGGCGCGCCGTCGTGGCCGCCGCCGGGGATGATGGCGTGCTTGGGCGGGAGGAAGTGGTTGTCCCGCAGCAGGCTCCTCTCGGCGTTGCGCGACCGCTTGCGCTCGAGCGGCGTCAGGGCCGGCTCGTCGAGCAGGCTGGGCGTCGGCCCCAGGGCGGGGCGGGTGGTGCCGTACGCGATCCCGGCAGGGCGGCGGTACAGCGTTGGGTTATCCCCGTCGGCGTCTGACTCGGTCAGCTCTGGGTCGCCCCCGCCACCGCGGTGGCCCGGTGGGGCGTCCCCGTCGCCGCCGGCGTCGAGGCATTCGGCGAGGTCCCTCGCGATGACCTCCTCCGCGATGGGCGAGGTGGCCATGAAGGTGGCGGACCGCGGCGAGGCGAACTCGCGGTCCGACGCGCCCGCCGGCCTTCCGCCAGGGATGGGCCTGCTGGACGTCATGTCTGGGCTGGCTGGGGGGACTGGATGTCGAAGGGAGCACGGCCAAGGTGAGGGAAGAGCGCGGAATCAGATGGTCGACTTGAAGAGCTCAGGGCACCACGGAACCAATAAAAAGCTCTCCGATACCGATGGTGACCGACAACGGTGGCACGCTTTGTGGAACTCGGCTAGGCGCCTATCAGACCCCTCGGCAGGGTAGGGGATGGGGACGTACTGTAGACAAGAGGAACCTCGGCCGCTAGCAGCACTCGGGTGGATATGGACGGTAACATCACGAGACATGCATACAGGACGCAAATGGACTGTAGATACTTATACGAATAGGCAACACACATAAAAGCCCATAACGCCAAGATGGGCTCGCTTCCGTGCAACCCTGGGGCGTGGCTGGCTTGACTTGCCGCTGCCGACGCCGCCAGGTTCATCCTCCGCGCCTTGTAACAAGCCTGCCACAGAAGAAACGCAATACAAATGAATCGATTCGAGCGCAGATCTCCTGGAACCGCAGCCAGGCCCCGCTGGAGACAGGACAAGCCTACACATGATACAGCCCGCGGGTCTCTGCTGCTCGGCGCTCACAAGACAGCTGTCGAATGCGGAAACAGCATGGCAATTCTGAATCCAGAGCCCATCTGTCAGCACTCACATCGGGTGGCCGCGGCTGGATGAGTTCGCTGGCTGATCGGGATGGCTGTCCTTTGGAGGAGGGATGATGGATGGATGGCGCGGGGGAGGGTGCTGACCACCAGATGCAGCAGCGCATTGGATGCGGCTCTACCAAAGCAAGCATTGCGGATGCGCTTGCCGAGATTGCGTGAACAAAGCCGCCACTAAAATATGTGTGTAACCATCAGCTGCTATATCACGTGATGGATTGCAGGAGGGATGGAGGGAGGATACTGTCGATCTTTCCCTTGGACATCCACAAACCCATGCCTCGCAGTCCAACGAGGGTTACACAACCCCGACTCCAAGCACTGTACCACGTCGGAGCTGGATCTCAAGAGCGATGGCGACGCAGCTCAATCACGCAACCTGCGGGCTCGGTTGTCGATCCCCCAAGGCTGGCTCGAGGCCCAGCCAGTAGAATCGACGAGACGTTTTTTTTGCTTTTGATCACCACAATCTCGGGTTGGTGCGCGTGTAGCGCATGAGCCAACGGGAAAAGGTGTCAGGTTGCCTTTGGTTGCTGACCGCTACTTTGTCCCTCGGCACACTCGCCCTCACTGATGGATCTGTTTGCTCTGTACGTACCCGCCTCATGCCGGCTGGGGCGGGACGATATCGGATGTGTAGATGTGGACATCCATGGTGGTGGAGCAGGTGGTATAAATCGCCAGTTGCTCGAGTTGACCGTTGACAACCCTTACTTACTGCTCGCCATATTGCAAATGGTGTATTGTGTGTATGTTGATTTCACTGTCCACATTCGCCTCGGCTTTTCGTCGCCTGATTGAACGGCCTCGACCGGCCACCTGAAGGTTTCTGTGCCCCGGATTCTGAAAATAAAAAATTAAAAAATAAAAATTAAAAAAAATTAAAAAAAACCTCTGGGCCCGCCTCCGGAGATAATGGCCATCGATGCGGGGTCCCGTTTTGTGGGCGGGAGGTCGGAGTGTGGGCACGCGCTGATGGCGTCTGGCGTGGAGCGTGGGCTGCGAGAATAGGATGGCTGGGCGTGCCGCCACAGCAAACCTACTGCACAAACGCCGAGATTGGCTTGTTTGGCTCGGGGACGCATGCAGTGCATGTCCTGTGCCGCCTCCGTCTTCATGGTCGCCGCACAGGTCTAGGAAAGTTTAGGTCTCCGCGTCGTCGACCATCATCAGCCGTTGTTCTGCTGCATCGAGATAGGCCCGAATGGTGCCGAATGGTGGCCCCCGACGCTAAACAAAACCGCCGTGGCGTTTTCGGGAGGTCCATGTCTCGTCTCGGGTCTACACTCCCCCTCGATTTTTGACTACTACTTTGCTACTCGCCATCCTGCTCTCCTTCGTCATGCTACAGGCCCAGATGCAATTGTCGCACCAGAGAGGCCCCGTCCAATCTGAACAGGCAAGTCGTCAAATGGAATTGAAATCGATGTCGGGGTTCAACCATTGCTCCGCTCCGGCGAGGATGGATGCGGAGACTTGGATGGGTAGCGGGCATAGCGTGAGCGGTTTTTGCGACTCTGCGTTATTGGTTATCGGCACGCACACGCAGGGCGGATTTCCTTTCATGGACGGGCGGCTTATGCCCTGCCTGTTTATAAATGCAGACATGAGACCCCTGTTTGGCCGCCCCGGCGTCCTTTTGGTGCCCCGTTATCCGCCAGTTGGCCGAACTCGAAGAAGGGGCTCTCGCTGGATCGACTAACCTGCCACGCCTACCTGCCTCGTGTCGGTCTGTCGGTGGACCGGCCTGCGAACGAAGCAAGGGGGCCTGCTTTTCACCCGCGAAACCTGTATGGCCTTGCCTCGGGTTTCCCTCTAGGGTTGAGCGGTTACGCCACACCAACTTGCTTGCACATGCCTCCTTTCGGTCCTAGCCCGGACTCGATGACCGTGCTCCTGTGTAGGTACCTATATGTGTACCTAGGCAGGCACGTAGTAGATAGGGATGTACCTCCTTATCCAGGTGTCACCGACGCAGAGATTGACGTCCATGGTTTGACGAGCCCGCTAGCTGATATCAGCATCGGGACTGGCAGGACACCAGACACCCGGGGAGGCATGTCCTCGTAACCGCAGACATGGCGGCGAGGAAAGCGGAATCCGTGTGCGCGCCAAGGGCCGGCGTTTCAGGGTCGCCGCCAGGTTACATGCCCATTTACAGGAAAATAAACCGCTCACGACACTGGTAGGAAAAGCCTCGGGTGGGATCTAACCAGACTCCAGGCTGGAAGGAAGGAAGGCTTGCCCCACCCCCATGGAATGAAGCTCTCTGGCGCCCGTGTGGGAGTGTATCCAAAGTATGGGGCGAGCATGCGGAGCTTAATAACATTGAACGTATACATACACGGTCTCAATAGCCTCCCATTCCGGATATATAAACACCCAGCTGCCCTCCCGAACCGCCCACTCATCACCTTCCTTCTTGGACAGAACCATAGAAAGAAGATACCTGTCTGCACCGCTCGTCCCTTTCCCCTCCTTATCTGCTCGGCCTGCCCTAGAACGTTTGCCTTTTCACGTCGACCTCGAAAACCCACACCTGCCCAGGCAGTCGATTACCACTACATACCGCCCCGACGGTCGAGAACACCCAACAAAAAGTCAGAAAAGACAAACAATTCGCCAAAATGCCCAGCGCTAAGACCGACGTCAAGAGCATCCTGGAGGCCAAGCCTCTCCAGTTCCAGATCAGTGCTGGTGGCAAGAAATGGGCCTGCACCGTCCACTCAGACCGCGCCTCATAGTATGTTCCCCATATCCTTCTCGTCTTCCCCAAACACTATGTCCAGTCCCCCCAGGGCGAGGTAGCGTCATCGCCAGCCAAGAAAGCTTAACCGCGAACGGGAAACCCTCTGCGGGAACACTGATGAACGCCCTACCACGCAAAACGCATCTACCTACCCTGCTCTTGGACATCAAATCTGACCAAAGTGCCCCCTTTCTACCAACAGTGACCGCGTCAAGGCCTCGCGCACAAACTCCACCAGCTCTACCAGCTCGGTCTCGTCGTCCAGCTCTCGCGCCTCGTCTACCAAGTCGGCATAGGCGGGCTGACAGGAAAAGTACCGCGGGCGCCGGTCGGGGAAAGGCTGTCGGGGAGGGAAAGATGCAGGAAATTCCTTGGCAGGGCGCGCTCCCGTAAGCTTGGGGCTCTTCCCGGGGTTTGTCTGGGGGGCCGGGGCGAAGACCAATGACATAACACCTGCGCGCATTTACGGTTGGCTTGGCGTTTTAACAAATCGGTGCGAAGGGGGCTTGGCTTTTTTGTTTTGAGAAGTGCGGGTTGCACGAATTACCTTTTTTTTTTTTTTTTTTTTTTTTTGCCCGCATCGACAGGAGGATGGGGCAGACACACGGTGTTCTCGGGGTGGGCTGTTGGAAGCGTCCATTACGAGATCCAAATATGAATTCATTACCAGGCCTGATCCGTTTCACGACCTGCTTGACCCTCGGGTTCCCGGGATTCCCATTCTGGGACGGGCGTGCCAGCCACAAAGTCCTTCTGCATCCACCCACCCATCCTCGCGAGATCCTGCTGACAACTTTAGTGCGTGGAGGGGGCATGGAGCAGACGCGGGAATACCACAATATGGGGGTCCTTGGTCCTGTTTGTTACAAAGCGAAGAACACGACGGGTCTTCTCACCGCCCACATATCCATTGGATACGGGCGAGTTTTGGCCAGCTCCATTATTGCCTCACTCGCCCACCACGAGGCCGGTCCATGCTCACTTGTCACGTCAACGAGATCGAGTCTCGAGGTGGCAGGCAAGGCATGGTGACCTCGCCCGTCCTTGGGACCACGGGACGCACTCGACCATACTGTATGTGCATGACCCATCGCTCAACGGAGCCATCAACGCTTTCGAGGTGCCGGCGCTGACTCGCGGCGCGTGGAGCGTGCCGCGGTCCCGATCATGAATGGCCGCCCTGCTTACACCCTTGACCGTGGCACGGCTCGATGTGGAAACCGGAGGACCCTGCTACGATCGGCCTTGGCACACAAGGAGGGTTGCGCGCGAAATGTCCGGACACCGAGCGGGCTGACAAGCACCAGACGGGATGGCACGGACTGGGAGGGCTACGGCCTCTGCTGCTGCGGGTGCCTCAGCACTCGGGAAAAACAAATAACCTGCAAGGCAAACCGAATCCACAACCCGCTGGCATCGTTTCCATCCGACGTCATCCCACATCTGAACAGAGGCGGTCCACACGCGAGATTACAAGGCCGACTGCCAGGGCATGCTGGTGAGAAAAAAAAAGAAAAAAAGACATCGGATATTCGGGACGTGCCTCCAGCAGTGCATCAACAGTAGAAAGGCGGTCTCAGCAGTGATTCCTTCAGAGCCACGCCAGGGGCGGCGAGAATGCACGCAAAGCCACGTATCCACTTGTCTGTTTCGTTTCCTGTTCCCTTTCTTTCCCAAGAGGGCAAGCGAAGATGCCTGCCTACTTGCAACTTACCTATGCGTCTACTAAGATCTTCCCTGTCTGGATGGCTGCCGACAGTGAGGCGCACGCATGGGCGCTGCTCGTTGTATACCCCCTCTATACAGGTATTCTCTTGCCCCGAGCGGCTCGATATCTTCCTTTAGATAACTGCTGGGGGCTTTGGAGGATCACCCCTCCGAACTAGAGGCACGAAAAGCATTGTCAGGTCTTGGCGGGACATATCAGGATCCACGTGCTTGACTGTACCGATCGCAACAAATCTTTGCAAAACAGCTTCTCTGTGACGGACCGGACGGACCGGACGCCGACTCATAGCCCGCCAAGTTTCTGGCAAACGAACATTTCATATCTCCCACGCAACCATACTCCAGTGACGAGGGCGGATACGCACCGACCAAACTCCAGCAGAAAAAGGGACAGGAATCGCACCAGCGTCTCCAGCATACCGGCTGACCTCAACCGATGGGCTTAAGCTTCTTCTTCTTCTTGCCCGAGTCGCCCGACTTTCCCTTTTGGAACTGGCGCCAGCTATCGATGCGCTGGTCCCTCGTGGCCTCCCAGTCCTGCTCGTGTTGCCTCTTACGCTTTCGCTCGTCGAGCTCCGCGTCCTCCTTGCGCTGCTGCCTGCCTTCCTCTTGCATCTGGCCTTTGAGCTGTCGCCGCCGCCGGTGCTCGTTCTCAATGAGCACAAACTTCGTCTTTTCGCGCCACAGCTTCTTAAACTCCTCAGTGCGGGTCTCGGGGCTGTCGGCGTTCCACTTCTTCTCGCGCATCAGCAACATGCGCGCGTCCGAGATGGCCTCGTCGAGCTGCGTCCGGTACTTCTCGTCCATCAGCTCAGTCTGTGCCTTCTTCAGTCGGTCGAACGCGTCTGGTGCCAAGGGGTTCTTGGTCTTGTCCGGATGTATCAGCAGTGACTTCTTGCGGTAAGTCAGCTTGATGTCTGATTCGGGTACGCCGGGTTGCAGGCCAAGAACGGCATATCTGGAGCAGAAATAAGTGATTGTTAGCACGTACAAGCCCATGTGGAGCATCGGCTCGTCGTTTGCGCATGCCCCTCGCCCGGGGCTTGTGAGGTACTCACGCGTCCAGGCGGAATGACTGCAGAATGCGATTGATCTCGGCATCCTTTTCTGCCTCCTTTGTCTCCGACTCGAGAATGTCGAGCGCATCGCGCTCGTCAATATTCTCCTCGGGCTTCCCCTCGCCCTTCTCTGGGCGCTTCTCCTCGCTGGACATCTCTCGGCCTTACGGAAAATGCGCGCGTGTAGTAAGAAGTTGTATCGCTCTACAGTATAGGCAAGGATTCGATTGAAGTGTCGGAAGGCGGGCTTCTCGTTGGTGGGCGATAGTTGCACGCTTCGTGGCCGTTTTGGTAGTTCGTTTTTCGGCCAGGTGCAGTTTCCAGCCTCAACTTCGCGCCACCGTTCCCGCAGCTCGGTTCGGTCTTGGCTCTTGGCGCACAGCAAGGTGGGGCCGACGCAGCACTGCCCAGTGGGGAAGCACCGCCAACCCTAACCTGAAGACAATGCGCTATCGCGCCTTATCTGGCGTCGCGCAGGGATGTGTCCCCCGCCGGAAGTGACCCTGGAGAAAGAAAAAAAAAAGGGAGCAGCTGCATGAGCGCGTTGGGAACAGCAGCAAAAACGAGCGTCGAAGGAGCGACTGGTTGGAACAGATCTACAATCTACACGGCAACCACTGCACGCCGTAATATGCAACCGCCATAACAAACAATCAATTAAAATGCCTCGCCGCGCCGCATCCCCAGCTCCTTCGGAGAACGAGGTCGACATTTTGAGCTCCATTTTCACCGACGACGTCGAAGCGGCCCGCCCAAAAAAGTCTAGGCCGGGGCTGGGCATCTCGGACGACTTCGACTTCGATGTTGATGCCCTACTCACCGGCGCCCACGATGGCGGGGAGGGGGGAGATGAGGCGCTGATCGCGCTCCAGCAAGCCGCCTCCTTTCGGAAAACAAAAGATATTCTGGGCAAATCAACCAAGAAAGGAGGCGGCTTCCAAGCTATGGGTACGTTGCGCCGCGCGCTTCCTATGCAAAGGAAGGCCAGCTAGCCGCAACTTCATAACACTGACTGGAGCTTTGTTGTAGGTCTCAATGGCATCCTCCTCAAGGCCATCACAAGGAAGGGCTTCTCCGTTCCGACCCCCATCCAACGCAAGGCCATCCCCCTAATTCTCGACCGACGGGATGTCGTCGGCATGGCCAGGACCGGATCCGGAAAGACGGCCGCGTTTGTCGTCCCCATGATCGAGCGTCTGAGGGCCCACAGTGCCCGCGTCGGCGCCAGGGCTCTCATCATGTCCCCCTCTCGCGAGCTGGCGCTCCAGACCCTCAAGGTCGTCAAGGAGCTCGGCAAGGGCACAGACTTGAAGACTGTGCTCCTTGTCGGTGGCGACAGCCTCGAAGACCAGTTCGGCTTCATGACGACAAACCCGGACATAATTATTGCCACCCCTGGCCGTTTCCTGCATCTCAAGGTCGAGATGTCACTCGACCTATCTTCCATCAGATACGTCGTCTTCGACGAGGCTGATCGGCTTTTCGAGATGGGCTTTGCGACGCAGCTAGCCGAAATTCTGCACGCGCTACCGCCGTCCCGCCAGACCCTACTTTTCTCCGCCACTCTTCCGAGGTCCCTAGTGGAGTTCGCAAGAGCTGGTCTTCAGGAGCCCAGTCTGGTGCGGCTCGATGCCGAAACCAAGATCTCGCCCGATCTCGAGAGCGCGTTCTTTTCGGTCAAGGGGGGCGAGAAGGAGGGTGCGCTGCTGCATATCTTGCACGACGTCATCAAGATGCCGACTGGCGCACCCGCAGGGCTCAAGGATGAATCGGAAAAGGCGGGTAAGAAGAGGAAACGACAAGGACCTGATCGACCAAACCCCAAGGAGAAACCAACCGAACACTCGACCATCATATTCACGGCGACAAAGCATCATGTCGAATACGTCAGTGCGCTACTAAACCACGCCGGATTCGCCGTGTCGCATGCCTACGGCTCACTGGACCAGACTGCGCGCAAGATCCAGGTGGATGAATTCCGCCGTGGCAAAACTAACATCCTAGTGGTGACGGATCTCGCTGCTCGCGGTATTGATATCCCCATTCTTGCCAACGTTATCAACTACGACTTTTGCGACCAGCCAAAGGTGTTTGTACATCGTGTCGGTCGGACAGCCCGCGCGGGCCAACGTGGCTGGAGCTACAACCTGATTTGCGACGTCGATGCGCCCTACCTCCTCGACCTGCAGCTGTTCTTGGGCAGGAGACTGATCGTAGGTCAGGAGATCCCTGAGGGTGACCCGCCGAGCTTCGCATCAGACGTTGTCCTAGGTGCTCTGCAGCGGTGGCCGATCGAGACGAATGTAGAGTGGGTCAACAAGACGCTCGTGGAGTCATATGATACTCAAGTGCTACGCACAGTTGCCGCCAAGGCACACAAGCAGTTCGTGAGGACCAAGATCGCGGCCTCAATCTCGAGCGCCAAGCGTGCGCGCGAGCTGACGGCGTCCAAGGGATGGACACAGACCAACGTGTTGTTCGGGACTGGCCCTGCCGAGGACGACGCGGAAGGGCTGCGGGCTGAGATGCTCGCCAAAATCAGTGGGTTTAAGCCCCAGGAGACTGTGTTTGAGATTGGCCGTGGCGGGAAGGGGACGAACTTTGAGGCTATTGAGATAATGAAGAAGCTCAGAGTCAGGGCCCCGGTGAGGAAAGTTGCCAGGGGCGGGGACGTGGACGTGGCAGAGGCGAGCGCAAGCAAGTCCAGGAAGAAGTCTGATGACAGTAGTGATGGTGAGGATGACGAGGGAGACGAAGAGGAGGACTCGGTGGACGAGGAAGCTCCATTTGCGGCATTAGAGTCCGAGCCTGAGTCGGAACTCGAGGTCACAGTGTCAAACTCGGCCGACGCCAAGAAAGGGGCGGACTCTTGGAAGGACTCGGAACACTTCATGTCCTACACGCCGCGGCACGCCAACGTGGCCGAGGAGCGCGGCTACGGGGTCAATACAGGCTCGGGAGGGGCCAACTTCCTCGAGCAGGCGCGACACGTGGCCATGGACCTGGCCAACGACGAGTCGTCGACCACCTTTGGTGTCCCCACGCGAGCCGCGGCCACGCGCTGGGACAAGAAGAGCGGCAAGTACGTGGCGCGCCACAACGACGAGGACGGCAGCCGCGGCGGGTCCAAGATGATACGCGGCGAGAGCGGCGTCAAGATCGCCGCCTCCTTCCAGAGCGGCCGCTTCGACAAGTGGCGCCAGGCCAACCGCCTCGGCAAGCTGCCCCGGGTCGGCGAGGCCGAGAAGGGGAACCTGGTGCACGTGGGCGGCACTCCCGGCGGCGGAGGCGGACGTGGAGGCGGCAGCGGCGGTGGCGGCAGGGGCAACGCCACGCTCGGCGGGCAGGGCGGCGGCCGGCGGTTCCAGCACAAGCGCGACGACGCGCCCAAGGATGCCGACAAGTTCCGCGACGACTACCACGTGCGCAAGAAGCGCGTGGCCGAGGCCAAAGAGAAGCGCGTCGGCAAGTACCGCGACGGCGAGGGCAGCTCGCGCGAGCTCAAGACCAACGACGACATCCGCAAGGCCCGCAAGATCAAGGAGCTCAAGATGCGGAAGAACGCACGCCCGGCGAGGAAAAGGGGCGGCAAGAGATAGAGTTCTTGGAGTGCGACGAGGTAGCGTCTGTCATATACGGTCAAGATCACAGTCTATCGTGGACACCTATAAAATCGGATTTTGTTGCCAAACTAGAACTTCTCCATGCTCTCTACATGCGGCTGTGATATGAAAAGAGGGGCCATCTATCTTTCTTGGTTTACTATACAACACCCGGAAGGGCGAGTATGCGTTCTTCTGCTGACGCAAGTTCAGAGGAAGGGGGCAGGGTAAGAAGGGATATCTATTACAGGCTGTATTTTATGCGTATGTGCGAAAAGCAGAATTAAATCCCCACGAGCCCCTGTCCACTGATTCCTTCAATCTTGCTCAAGCGCCACCGCTGTTGCCACCATTGTGAGCCTCGGAGGTCGGGTACCACCACGAACAGACAGCAATGATGGCATAGAGGCAGATCAGCAACATCCCCTCGAGCCAGTGGCTCTTCCCGTCCGCGATCAGGTAGTTGACCAGAAGGACGGACACGAACAAGACGGCCACTTGGAAGATGTCGAAGCTAAGCCCCATTGCAACAATTCCCTTGCCCCCTATATGACACGGTATCAGCTTGGCCGTAAACAGGCATTGGGCTGATGGAAAAGCGGGTGAGGCGGCAGGAGATCAAACCCCGCGGAAACTCACATCCTATTATGACCAGAAGCGGGATCAAGAAGAGGGCAACCTGCATGCCTATATTGGGTGGTTCGGGTTAGCTTGCCATTTCGTTTTATCGCTGTCGGAATCACGCAAGTCCTGAATTATGGGGGGATTTGGAGAGAAGAACACTGACTTGAGCCAACCTATTATTGAAGTCAATCGCATTAGTAACACATTCAGCCTTGGAAAGGAAGACGGGTACATGTAACTCACAGCTACTCCGATGGCAAGATCCAGCTTATCCTTGATGGCGACCGAGACTGCCGTCGCGTGCTCGGCAGCGTTGCCGACAATGGGTAGAAGAATCAGACCCAGGAACTCCTTGCTGATGCCTCCCTTAGAAGTAACGTACTGTACAGATCGAGCATCGGCATGTCAGTAAGTCGGTGCGGCAGAAACATGTCAAGGCATCAAGAGAGCACCTACGTCAATGCTGTCCACAAGAAACTCGGCGCAGAAAGCGATGATAATCGTCGATCCGGCAAGCAGGGCCAGGGCAACCAGAAAATGCAGCTGCGGCTCCTCCTCGTCGTCTTGGTCGGCGCCGCCCCCGCGCGCGGCGGCCGCCTCCCGCTCGGCTGCGGCATCATGCGCTGGCTGCATCAGCATGTTGTTCAGTTGCTCCTTCTGGCGGGCGTCGACGGGGGTGATGGCGGAGCCGACGAGGCCGCGGCCGGCGCCGGCGAGCCCCTGGGCGATGCCGTGGCGGGCCGGGTTGCCGGAATCGCTGCTGCCGCGGCGGCGGAAGGGCTTGGCGGGGACCTTTTGGCTCTCCTCGCTAAAGACCTCATGGTGGGTGTGCAGCTGGAAGAAGAGGTAGGCGGCGTAGACGACGAGCAGGATGACCGAGACGCCGCGCGACAGCATGGCCACGTCGAGGTCCGGGGTGCTGCTGGAGCGGTCGAAGACGGTCGGCACGATGACGCCCGCGACGGCCAGGGCGAGCAGGCTGGCGGCGGTCTGGGCGACGGTGATGTTGAAGTGCTGCTCGGTGCGGCGCAGGCCGCCGAAGAAGAAGCACATGCCCAGCACGAGCAGGAGGTTGGACAGAATGCTGCCGATGAGCGACGTCTGCACGATGGTGACCTGGTTGTCCATGAGCGCGATGATGGCCACGATGAGCTCGACGGCGTTGCCAAAGGTCGCGTTGAGCAGGCCGCCGAGCGTGTCGCCCGTGCGCAGCGCGATCTCCTCGGTCGCGAAGCCGAGCAGCGCGGCCAGCGGGATGATGGCGATGAAATTGATGGTGAAGATGAGGATGGGGCTCGCGTGGGCAAAGTGCAGCGCGATGCCGGCCGGGGCAGCGACGAGCAGCACGTTGATCCACGAGTTGAGAAAGGTGCGCTGCAGCTGGTTCGCCACGGTGAAGGGCTCCTTGGGCTCGACGTGCTTGAGGAACTTTGAGCCCTTCTTCTTGGGCTTCTCCTCCTCCGGCTCCTCCTGCTTCGCGGTGCTGCTGCGGGCGAGGCCCGTGTCTAGCCTGGGTATCTCGGGCTTCCGGTTCCGTAGCTGGGCGTCGTTGGCTGGCGGTGCGGTCGATGCAGTCTCGGTAGTAGCAGCAGCGGCGGCGCCGGCGCTGTCAGAATCTCTCTCCTTGTAACCATCCCTGGAAGAGAATGCTCCAGCAGGGGCCGAGTTGATGTGAGTGAGGGGTGACGAGCCCTCCTCGTTGTCCCCCGCAGTGACAGCGTGGCCTTGCTCAACGTCCAAGGGGAAGGTGCTATTCTGTTTTTTACGCCATTGGATATGCGCAAACGGGCCGCTCTGCCGACTGAGGAGGTTTGCCTGGCGCTTGATCCGGTATGCGTTGACTGAAGGCATCGTGATGGTCAGTTCGCCGACACTTCTGGGCCATGGGAGAGAAAGCAGCAAATGTGTGGTCCTCTACAAGGACATGATGACGCGCCCGCGTGATCAAATGCATGCGAGTCGGAAACTGGGCAAGATAGCGCCGGGAGAAATGGATTTTCTGGCCTGATGACTAGTCCAACTTACATGCCGGCATTTCAGGAGATGGCCGCTTGGCAGTGAGTGGTACCGTGTGAGCAGATCAAAGGGCAGCACGTCGTCGAGGCGCCTGTGCTGTGTCGTATGGCTTGGGCTTGGCGGTGCCACCGTGGAGAGATGCTACTTGCTGCCTTGCAAGACTGACTGGACATCAGTGGTACATTGTGTTTGGACGAGGTGGCTGGGCTGCAGAAGTAAGAAAATCCAGGAGACGGAAGACACCCAGCACAAACAAAAAGTAGAAGAAGCGTAGAGCAGGAGCAAGGGAGGCAATGGGTGGAAAACCGCCCATGAATCGCGACGAGGTGCGCACCCACTCGTTTAATACAAATTCCCATATGGGAGGCCATGCAAATTACCTGCGGATTACCTGCGGGTTACCATCAGGCCAGGGGACCACAACTGCGACCAGTCTGGAAACACCTGCACTCCCCTGCATGTCAATCTTCCAAGGCCCGACAGCGCTACACCCGAGGCGGCAGTGGTCCTGACGTATCCCAGCTCCAACAATCCAGTTGGTGTGCAGCGCAGCTTGGGCACGTTCATGTGGTATAACGTCTGGTCTGGCCTAGCTTTAGTTTTACCTCGCTTTAGTTTTAGTAAGGTGTGAGAAAGTCCCGATGTTTCCTTTGCCTTTAAGTAAGCTTGAAGGTACTTTGGGTGCCATCTATCGTGTCCCCGAAAAAAAACATTTCCAGTTATTGGAGATTTCTCGCATAGAAAGCAGACAGGAATTAGTGTCGCTAGACGCGCATTTCCATGTCGTCGTGTCAAAAATCGGAGGCCACTCTGGCCAAGCTTTCTCGATTCAGTGCCAAGCTAGCCAAGCTTTGCGGCAGATCGGCCACTCCCACCTTGGCGCGCGTTCTGACTGCGCCTCGGTTCAGAACAAAAGTCCGCACCGTCACCAACCAACCAAGGCATGGCCGTCAAAAGTCCGATGACGACCAAACGTCATGCCACTGCGGCTTCGCGAGCGCGTGCAGCAATCCAGCGTGCAACTTTCTGCTTTTGGCGCCTCGCTTCACCTCTTCAGCCACACTGGCGCGCGGATTGCTGGCGTTGGGAAAACTCGGTTCGGGCAATAAAAGCGGGTGACAAACAAGAGTAACAACCTCCGCATGCCGACCTGAAGCCACACGGAGGATCCACACAGAGCGGGAGGCCGTCCAGGCCAGGGGTCAACCGGAAAGTTCCCATTACCCATAACCCATCTACTTCCCATCCCGTGCGGGTTGCAGTTATTTTACCTTGGTGAATTTAAGCGGCCATGCTTTATACAGTTGCACATGAGGGGACCAAAGATTGCATCGCTAAAAATAACATGTAATCCATCTAGTTAACGCAACACGCAGTGTTTGTATGGATACCAGGACTGACCTTTATCAATGGGGCTGATACTTTGATGTGATACCTGTACACTGGACTCAGTAAACTCCCCACTCCTCCGAGCCCCAACAATTTACAAAATAAGTAGATGCGCAACAGGGCGGGATCAAGAAATAATGGAGCGAGGCGGGCTGGCTGCCCGTGGTTCCACTGCGGACTTCCAGCATAGGTGTAGCAAGCGGTCAGATAACAATTGCATAGCGAAGGTATTAACTGAACAGGTAATTTAGTAATGTTGGCATCTGCCGCGAAAGGTAGCGACCAATTATACCATGAAGGGGCTCCTGCTTCTGCCGCCACATGTCTTCATCCCCCAAGGCGGAACAATTCGCGCACAAACCCTCCGACGTAGACTCTATTAGGGATGCAGCGCTGAATCAAACGAAGATGGCGTACATCTTGTAATCCGTCAGATCCGCGCGCGGAACGCGTAGGCATTAAAAGTCCGCTGTCGCTGTACTGGAACGGCAGCATGACGCTGGCGATCGAACAGTCCGCGGCCGCGATAGTATACGGATCAAGAACAAGTCTGACATCCTTGTAGCTACTCGAAAAGAACTCAGTGTACCATGCCGTGGCGGGTGGGTAATAGCACGCAGTCTGAGACCTGGATGAATAGACGGCAGTGAAGGCGCCCGATACCGGGTCCAGGGTATAGTGCTGGGCGTTGGTGATGTCTGGGCTTAATTAATAAAAGTGGTTGAGGTCGAAAGGGAATCCCGTACGGCGTATATCACACCCTCGCCGGCGGTGGGCGAGCTTGCGAGAATGAACGTGCCCGTCGCCTCGAAGCCAGCGCACGACACTCCGGTGGTAGTGCTGACACTGGTCGTGGTGGTGGTCGTGCCGAGGTTACCGGGGTCGTGGTAGTCGTCGAAGCTATCGTGTGTTCGGTCACGGTCTAGAGGACGGAAGATGCACGTGAGCCTTTAGGTCATGAAGAAGGGGAGAGGAGCAGACGGAAAACTCACCTGAGTGTTGGTCGACTGTGACGTAGCGGCCACCACCGTGGTGGACGGGGTGATTCTGAGACACGAGCACGCGAGGCTCAGGGAAGCCGCCGGGGTAGGCCGTGCCGGGCAGTTGGGAGGCGGAGCAGCAGCAGCAGCAGCAGCAGCGCGCTTCGTCGGCCCGCCAGCCGGCGCCACTGTAGTGGTCGTCAATATTGTCGAAGTGTCGACGACGGTAGCAGTGGATGTCTCGACTATGGTGACGGTGGCGTCTGTCTGGGCCACCGAAGCCGTAGACTCGCTTCGAGAGAGTTAGACGGGTCGTTGTGCGTCTACCGGGAGGCAGGTAGCATGAGGAGGTGGACCTACTTGCCCAAGGTGGTCGTGCCGCCGTGACCATCACCACGGGGATGCTGAGGTAGCTGGAGCAGAAGGCCGTGGCCGCTGACCTGCTTGCGACATCCTTGGATGCCGTGCCGGTGGGGTCGAAGCAACGCAGCAGGTTGTTCCTGTTGCAGACCAGGTCGCGATCGGCGAGGAGCGGAGAGCTCAGGGCTCCTGAGACCAGGACGACCAGAGCCGTGGTGCGCGATAGCAGGGGGGACTCATGGTGGGCAGGTGTGGTTTGTCTTGTTGTCTACCTGGCAGTGCTGGTGTTTGTCTGAGAGCGAACGTCGGGATGAGGGATGACCACCTCAAGATTCACATGAGGCTTCGGCGGCGGCCGGCTTGCTCTTTCATACGCCGCTCTGTTGCCGCCATGACCGAGATCCCTTCCGTGAGGTCTCGTATCGGGGAATGTCCCTGCGTACGATGTTTGCTCCTGTCTCCTGGTGCGGTGAACTGAAGCGAGCTCACTTGGCACTTCCTTTTCGCAGGGCAGCGACCCGGTCGTCGAGGTCCAGAACAACACAGCTGAACTCACGGTTTCCTCATTTGGGTGCCTTGTTCGCTTTCGCGGTAACAAGGTAGCGTGGCTGAGGGCCTAGGCCTTTTTAGCGTGATTGGAGGCGGCTAGCATTCCATGTCCCTTGTGTAAGCGGGTTAACAATACAATAATATGTAAATGCGGCTGGTTGAGCACATGGGTACCTGGTATTCAGCTCGCGCTACTATACACGGCGGGTCAAAAAAAAACCGGAACACGTTTCAATTTTTGCCCCTGTGCATACCACCACCAAATGAAAAGTGTCCCGTTTTTGTTTTACCAGACCGTGCTATGGTAACCTGGGTGCCTGGCATTCAGCTCACGCTACCGTAGTAAACCAGCAGGTATTAGCAGGCATCTTACCTTCTAGATAGGGCAACTTGCATTGCAGGGAGTCTCAAGCCAAACCCAGTGCGCTGGGTGGAAGTACCCCTTGATCAGCCCACGTGTTGCATACGCCACGAACTCCGGGCCGGTAATGGTGTCCTCTGCCCCTGTCCACCATCGCCCGGTGTCAAAGCCACCCAGGCGGCCGCCGCGCCGCGCGGGTGCGTGACCCGGGTCGCAAGGAGACTACCGGCCGCGTCGGGCTTTTGGATGAAGGCTGGCGGCTTGGGGGATCCCTCCTAGTGAGAGGAGGAGGCTTGGTGAAGGCCGTTTTTGTCGTCATTTGCCCCAGGAGTGACGCTAGGCTATCTTCTCTGTGTTCGATGTATGCGATGCTCCGAGCGATGAGCCCGGGACTTTGGGCGGCCCCGAGTGTGGAGAAAGCTTCGAGTGGCTTCGGGGGAAGACGTTCTGCAACAAGTTGACATGAACGTTTGCTGTAACTATAGTCCATTCGTTCGGCCATGACGCCAAGTCTCACCTGAGATCGTATGCTGCAAACCTTCCGGTATGTGTGCCCCCCTCGTCATCCAGAAAAAGAGGGGATTCGTAGAGATAGACGTGAACGGTCCCTACGCTCGCGGCAAAACTGAACGCTATCTATCGGTTATGCGATCTCTGGCAAAGTTGGAGTACCTTAAAGCAATAGTAGAAGACAGTATCCGTGCCAAATCGAGTGTTTGATCAAGTATACCCTGCATTTGCACGCACAGCAATCAATCAATGGGTGCTACATGTACCTATATGCCCACATATGCGGATAAACAGCGATGAGCATGCTAACATTACGGGTTTTGTACTTGCCACTGGAAATTCCAGGTTCTCTATGCCCACGCCCTCGCTGTCGTCCAAGGCGTGAGTCGCGATCAACCCTTTGTATAGAAGAGAACCTATTCTAGGTTGTCATCCGAATTTCTAAGCATGTTGGTAGGCTCCCCTGGTGCCAAAAGCACCCGCGGCCACTTGCCACGCGCCCTCTTTGGGAGGGCCAACGCCGAAGTGATACATGCCGACTTGTAGGTGAAAATTGCATCTATTCGGCATTAGGAGGAAAGAGATGTGTCTGCCGAGGGCTGGCCTTTGGCCAGCCCTTATATACAGGCCCCCTGGGTGCCCAAGTCATGGCCACGTGATACACACGTGCTCCTACAGCCTTGCACCCTACAGGGCCTATACCTCTGGATACCTATCCCATGTATAACCCGAGAAAGCATCTATATTTATAGTCGAAGCGACAGAACATAAGTGGGTCCACCCGCCTGAAGGCCTTTGTCCATCAATCAGCGCCAAGGCCCCTCGTAACGTTCGGGTAAACGCGTCAGTTTGAGACTGGAAAGCGCCAACTCAAGGTGCAGGCGACCGAGAGGTGAGCCTGAGGGGCTTCATCTTGCAAAGAGCGCGGCACCGATGTTCTGGTCGTATTATAAACTTTGGCACGGGGTAGGTAAAAGTAGCCAAACCAGGGGGGGATATAAACTACAGCGATTAGTTGGTGATATAAATATTAGAGGAGAGAAGCAGGATTGCCTGGGGCTTGCTGTGTGGTACATATCCTTTTCGGATGGGAAGGTTGTGGGTGATGTGAGAATTCTCAATGAGCGCGACAAAGATCAATTGTGCCTCGAATGCTTGATTTCGGTTGAGGCTCGAACCATCTGCAAGGCTCGGCGTGCGTGGGCGCTTGCGTCAGCCTGAAAGATCCATGTTTGGGGCGCCAGGTTCAGTGAGCTCTCATCGAACGGATGCGCTGAGTTGCGTCCCCCTCAGCAGGCAGTGGGCGTGGCTGCGTGACCTCTAACTCCACTGGTTGATTGATTCGTGGACGCTCCGCCACCGCCCCTTGCCGCTGCCTGCCGCCACCACAGGCGACCTCCCTAGCCCTCTTTCCTTCGCCTTTTGTTCGTCCTTCTTGTTCTCCCATATTTGCACCAGCAGCACATCGCGGTGCGACGGCATCGAACTCTTTACACCGACAACCATTTATCCACCCGCCAGCAGGAATATCGCGCTTTCTTCCACCAACCCGGGCTTTTTTGCTCGGCGGTATTGGGGCACCATGTCCCCGTTGGCAGCGAAAGGTACGACACGAGACTCTTCTCCTGGATAACGGTCCAGTGTCTCCATCTCCAGATCATTGGGCAAGCACGGCCATCAGTCTCTCCACAACCACCAAGTGGTGCTACACAAAACAATGCATTCCTCCTGATTACTCGGGTTTGATTTGCACTGTCATGGCTGGTTTGTGGTGCACCCGTGGCCAACCGCGCGTGTTCATAGGCAGAGCCAGGCTATTGGCGAGCAGGTGGCGACAAGTCTGCTGCCTTGGGCGTGGACAGTGTGGCGAGAAATAAGCCTACGCAATCCATCCCTGCCCCCACACCCGCCCATCTCCTTTCATGGCGTATCTATCCCACGGCCAGAACAGTCGATACTGGGCTGTATTTTCTTGCTGCCTTCTTTTGTCATTTGCAAAAGATAGCACAGCTCGCAAAGTCTTGGGCCGCTGCAAACCTTTCACAATTGTTCTTCCTCTCCTCCCACAGTTGCGGTTTCTGCCCCCTTCACACTGCACTGCGGCCCCACCCTTCGGCTCGGTACATCCCCCCACTGCGACCAAGGTAGCTTCACCTGGGTCCCCGAGATGCCTCCAGTTAACCAAGCTGCCCTTTCAGCCGGCGTCATCGCCGTGTCGGTCGCCGTGGCGGCTGCCATCGCTGTTTACGAGTCCCCCGAACTTAGGCGCATGGCCGATGACCTCCGCCGCAAGATCGCCATCGCTCTGCATTCGTTGGGCGACAACATCCAGCCCGACCAGAGACCGAACCCGCAAGACCCCTTATTCAACAGGCCGGAAGATGCCGAGGGATTCATGCAGTCACGGGCGGAGCCCGGTGTCGATGCCGACGAAGAGACCAAGAGGAGGCAGCGCGAGGAACTGATGTATTGGAATTCTCTCCGGCTTCAGAAAAAGGACCAGGAGGGTGCAGCTAGCCAGAAGGACCCTCAACAGCAACAACAGACGCCACCCCCGGTACCTCAGAAGCCCACCCACAGTTCAACCTTTGACGACTTCCTGCACCGCGACCGATCTAGCCCACAGGGAACCTACGTGTTCAACACCGGTGCCGACCCCAGACAAGAGGACGAGGGCCTTCTCCGTCGCCGTGGACCCGAGGGTGTGCGTGGGTTCAGGTCGTGGACTCCCGTCAACCCCTTCGCCGACGAGAACGGCATCGAACTCGACGAGCAACACCCAGTCATGCAGCCCAACATCATCTCGCCCGGTCGTGACGAGATGTCCGACATCTACAGCGCCACTGCCACCGAGCCCGCCTCCCCCGTCCAGAAGCCCGCTACAGCCGGCATGCCGACCTCTGCCGACATGCCGACCTCCGCTGCCATTTTCCCCGCATCTGCCGACCACAACATTTCCGCTGTCTTGTTCGATGCTGCTGCCCACCTCGATCTGCAGAAGCGCCAGCAGCCCGCCAGCGAGGATAGCCACACTGTCGAGCGCGAGCTGGGCGAGGATGAGTACATGACCGCCGGCCAGGACGACACGGATCGCGATGCCTATGCAAGCATCCAAGCATGGGCTCAGGATTCTCACAACTCCAACCCCGGATTCTACTCGCCGCTCCCCGTCTCCCCTTCCGCCCCGATGTCGGAGCCGGAGCTCATCAGCGAGGGAGTGCTCACGCCCACCGATTCGGTCTCTGTCATCAGCTCATCCGAGGATCTTGGCAACGCAACCGCTCCTGCCGCCAACACCCAAGATGCCACTGTTTACTACGATGTGGTGAGCGATGACGAGGACGACGGTATTGCCACCCCCGTGAGCTGGAGCGAGGTCGGGAGTGTTATCAGCGAAAGTGATGCTGGCCACGTCCGTGCCTAAGATGAACCGAAACCGCCCCCATGGATCACGGGCTCTGCCTAGTATCGCTGCTGTTTTTGGCCAGTATTGGCTGGTCTTCTATCCTTATAGCTTTCTTCCTTTTTGCTTC